GTGGAACTTCCTCGTATCTCAGCCCAAGAAACCGGCAAACCCCTGACTCGAGCGACTCTAGCTGTCAGACCATCATCCCGACCCATCTCCTATCATCACTGGCACCGCTAAAGCACGCGTGCATCATCCTGGAAGCCTGCAAGGTGCGTGTGCCACATCCAAAGCCGCCATGGTCGGAACTGACGGAACCAACGGAACGGGTTGGTTTCCTTTGGGAGTACAGGAACAAAAGTGAAGATGGAGCATAGTTGGGTGTTTGTTGAGCCTTGTGTTGACTTGAAGGAAACACTGGATCTGAGGTATTCCCACAGGTTCTTACGTCTTGCCCCAGAAAGCTACAAGGATGTCGGCGTATTATATGCCTGGAAGGTTTGAAATTCCAAGGTGCAGAGGTATGGACCCACACCTCAAGACTCAACAAACTTTGGTCAGAAGCGCGAGTTCTACATATATATATATATATATGGACTTATTTATACGTTCAAACATCTAGCACGATCTCACAGGATCAATTGCTCTAATGGCAATTCCGTACGTCAAGCAACGCAAACGCCAACTGGCCTGTCCAGTTTTAGAGCTCGCCACTCAAGATGACATGTGTTTAAAAACATCTTCCAAAGGGCACACCATGAAACTCGCCCTCTGGCCCTCTGATTCTTTGCCTCCTCCCTGTCTTGGAAGACCAAAAGTGGAAGAGCTATGAAACACATGTCAGAAATAGAATTAAACTCGTCAAAATCAAGCTATAGCCTTCCTATTCTTGTTCTCCAGGTCGACCCACCGACCTCCTGGCTGAACAGTCTCCGTCGGCCTGATCCCAACCTCAGCAGCCCGATGGAACAAAGAAGAGGATCCCTGGTCCTGGGTGGTTTGAGGGCGGACAACTTCCCTTCACCTCAAGTAGATTGAAGGCAAAATGTGGTAGAATTGGAGCAGAATCTGTTTGGGAACCTTGATTTGATTGGAAGTATTGAACCAAACCAAACCTTCACAGAATTCAGATGCCCCACATCAAGCCTCCCTGCGATCAAGTCTTCAGCCCATTGGAGTGTCTGCCGGGTGCCTGATGAGAGCTGGATGAGAAACCTGTGGAGAACAGGCTCCCAGATGAGACTCCAAAGTGTGACTGGATGAATAACATGCAAATCTCAACAGGTATCCGGCGTGGCGAAGTGACTTCAAACAGGTCTATCAAAAGCGATATATACATGTCTTGCAACTTGCCAAAGGGTGGGCCATGCAACTTGTGCCATCCACTCTTCCGGAGCAAGACCGACCGATGAGGCACCGTCTGAGAAATCTATAGTCGACCCGCATATGTCGACTTCTCAACCATGGTCACTTCAAGAACAATCAGGACAACCGAAAAAAACACATACTTGTACCATCTTGTACTTACTTGTTCATACTTGTTCCATGATGTAAAAGCCAGCCAGCCCGACACTTGTGACTTGTGCCACTCCGGTCGCCCAATGCCCATTGGGCCACCTGAACACTCAAGGCACCTCCTTGGGGCCAATCATCGCCATATGGCCATATGGGCTTGGTGGCTTGGCGTGTAGCTGCTACGCTCTTCCTGTGTTCATAAAGAACTGAGCGGATCAAGATGGATCGAACCTCAACTTCCTTGGAGTGTCAGCGGCCTCAGCCCTGAGATTTGCTCAAAAAGATCCTCAGCTTCCTGAGACGAATTGTGCCACGGTGGTACACTTGAACCTCCGCAGCAGTGTGCAGTCGCTTTTTCAACTGAACCCTCTCACAAACAGATCGGCTTTCAGGCAACTTTAGTGCAATGTTATCCTCTGCATCTCTGGACGTCATTTTAGAAATTAAACAATAGTGGCAGCCACCCGTGGATACATTTACTGTACCTCCAAACTTCATGCCGTTTCACCAGGAAAGACACAATAAAGCTCCGAAAGCGCTTCTTTTTCGTCCGCAGGGCTCTGGTTTCTCCTTAGCCCTCGCACAAGGAGGTGGACAGAGCTAATTCTGCGGACTGTGTCGCCCGGTCGGCTGGTCCAGAAACTCTGAAGGGGGCACCAGATGGACTTTGTTTCGTTAGCTGGTCCAAGCACGGCGCGATTTCGAAATCCATCTATAGATCTATCTAGCGCCTATTTACAAGTAGTTCCCGGGCAAGCCGGCGGCGGAAGTTTCCTATAAGAACAAATTGACCTATAGGAGTGTCCACGTTCTCTCCAACATGCGCGTCCTCCAGTCAAACGCACGCGCTCCGGACTTTTGACCCACGGGATTCCACGTGTGTAAGGTGTGTGCCCCCTGCAGGATCAGCAGCTCACAACAGCGTACTGGGTTGTATCTTTGCCACGACAAGAGGGGTGTATGACGAGTGGTGTATGATGAGTGGTGTATGACGAGTGGTGTATGATGAGTGGTGTATG